GTCCATATGTGCAGGTTTGGGCATGGGAACGCATCCCTCGTGTTCGCCCATTAATGACAAGAACACATTTCGGCTCTCAGGCGGGTTGTCCCTTGGGTGCAAGGTAATAATAACATTTATTTATATTCAACACTTAAGTTATTTCAATTATCAAAATTTGTAATTACAAATAAAACTTTTTCTGTGATTTTTAAGGTGGGTGGGATTGAGGGACATGAGACACCTGGTGACGGGCACGGCTGCCATCCGAGATCAGCTGAGTGGCCTGAGAGAGACTGATGTAAGTTTCTTAGGTCATAATAATGAATAATAATTATTTTTTTTAATTCTATTTTTTATTAAATTTATTAATAATTCTATAAATGTTTTTTTTTCACAGTTCGATTGGGTACCCTATCAGACGTACATAGACGAGGGTCGGCTCCCTGGAGTGTGCACACAAGACCGACATCTCTGGATGTACAAGGGGTGGATCTTCTGCTGGAACATCGCAGAACCCCACGAGACTGATAGGGTGCTCCGCCAGTTTCGGTGCCACCAGCCCATCCCCCAACAGCCGCTCATTACTAGTCTGGCCGACTGGGACACCCGCCACAAGGGCCAGGGCATGACTGGGAGGGCATACACCGATTGGCAGGCCTTCCATGCTGATCTTGGGAGGATCTGGACCGAAGAGAGAGATCAGAACGTCCTCCAAGATATCCCGGTGGATCCCTTCCTGCAGCCGGCAGACGGGTACATTGATTGGTATCACAGTAGGACTGTGAGACTACTCAATGACCCCAACAACTATGCGGCGATCTCACAGGACGGCGGGTTTCAACCATATGCCGACCGAGAGAAGTGTCAGGTAACTGTCTTCAATGAAGTAATTATTATTATTATTATTATTATTATTTTTAATATTTGATAGTTATTTGAATTTAATTTTGCAGTTTTCGGGTACGGAGGTGGCGTATAACGTGCTAATGAACATTGACGACATTGATACGCTACCTCCCCGAGCGCAGTCACAGTTCCAGCAAGCCCAGGAACTTCTGTACGCTTCTCTGACTGTTGGGGGTCAGTCGGTCACACAAGGGGCGTCGTCGGAGCAAATTCTATCTCAAGATGAGTACGCCCCACCCCAGCATACACATTCTCAACGGGCGAGGCATAGACCGGCGCCCCACATTGGTGGAGGGAGAAGACGCCGTGACCACGAAGAAGGTGAGATTTTTTTTTTAACTACAAATATATATATTTTTTTGTTTCTTTTTATTTATTTGTCCGGTCGAATTATTGATTTTTTACAAAAATTAATTAATTAGATGGACAAGAAGAAGAAGAACCAACCACGCCTGGACCGACCACAGGATCGTCTTCTTTGCCACCGGGGCCTCGGAGAGGGTCCCGAAACCGCAAGACTAGGAAACCATATACTCCTGGCTAGTTAGTTTGTTTTTGTATTTTGTGATTTTGTGGACATATTTTTTTTATTTTTTTTTGTATTGGATTTTCAGATATTTATTTTTGATGGTTTTGGATATATATTTTGTGGTTCACTTTTTTTTTTTTGTCGGTACATATGGTTGTCTTTTTCTATATAGTGTTTCATATATGTATTATTTATATAATAGTTTCGTATTTATCAAAATTAATGTATTAAAAAATGCACAACCAAAATGATTTGTAAATCGATTTGTAAATTTATAATAATCCATCGCTAATTTTAATCAATTTTTTTACACGGTATGTTGACATTTCGGTTTAGTCTATATATGCTACCTAATAAAAAAAACCAGCGAATAAACAAATCAGTAATAACCTACTCATCATATTTATTCGTGTGCTAAATATATATATTGTAAAAATAATGTGTGCCCTTATATTAAGGTAACAAATTAGTAATATTTGAAAGATTTTTTTTTGTAATATATAAAAGATTCAGGTAACCATATATATTCATATGTTGATTTGAACTAATCTACACAATCCTATATTAAGATTCGAAATGAATCGTGTGCCCATAAAATTGACTAACTAAAATATTTTACAATATTTTCTATATATATTAAACAGTAGATATTGTCTATAATAACCTACTCATCATATTTATTCGGATACTGTGACCATTGTTTTTCAACCCAGACCGGACCGACGGGTCGATCTGGGACTCGGTCGACCCAGAGCCGAAACCGGTTTGGATGGACTATTTGGACCGGGATCCTATATATTTTTAGCAAATATATTAAGTTCAGTAGTTGTGCAATTTATTTTTTATAGTCATAGTTATTAAGCTCGGCCCGGAAATCCAATCGGACAGGTCTTCGGGTCCCCGGTTCAACCGTCTGGTCACCGGGTCAATTGCTGAACTGGATAATTAATTTTAAACTTTTTAAAATTATATATAATACTTTTGACATATAAATATATATAAAAGTAACAAAAATAAATATTTTGTACATAAAATTTGCACATCAAAGTGTTAATAATATTGTATTTCACAATAAATATTTACTATATCAATATATTTACATAATTTTTATTTTTCACATAAAAAAATATTTAAAAATTAAATATAAAAATATATAGGGACCGGGTCAACTGGGTTGACCCGGCCAGGTCAATAACTCGGGTCGACCGGGTCAAGACCAGAGTGCCGGGTTTTGACCGGGTCCCCACCGGGTAATAAGAACACACACCGGGTGGGAATGGGAGGACCAAACAAGGTTGGCCTAAACTGATACAAACCAAGACAGCTAAAACAGGCAACCGAAAGCTTAAACCGGTTAGCCCCTCCAAACCAAAATTACTAAAAACCAAGAAAACCCAAGCTAAAAA